TTTCACTCACACACAGACACACACACACACACACACACACACACACACCTCCTTCACAGTTTGAAGCAGGGCTAGAAGTATGAATGACAGGTGATGCGACACATGCTACCATGCAGCAGCACACAGTGTCTTATCACCGTCTGTGTCTTTCCTTTCTATAGACTCTCCCCCTCCCTCCCTCCCTCCCTCGTTCTCCACCTTTCCTCACCAACACATTTCGAGCAGTGTTTACCTGGCTCACTGACTCACCAGTTTCAAAACACCAGTATTTGTTTGCTAAGCTGAGATTCGCAACTGATAGACCCTGTTTCTACGAATGACTTTCTACAAGCCGAGAGCTTGACTCCTTTTCCAGAGTGCTTTGTTCCTTGTCTGTCGATTCCCCAAGCTGGCGAGGTGCCAGACACCATCCTTCCTTCCCCAGCCCGCATTTACGATGCGCCTCACATCGCACATCTTACTCCATTGATTGCTGAGTCAGCGAAGGGCCTGCACACACACACACACACACACACACACACACACACACACACACACCATTTCATGAATGCTCACTGTAGGTAAAGACAACATTGATCCAAACTTCTAGCAGATCTTATGACACATTATTCCAGCTCATGACCATGCACTACCACTCAAACAGACTAAAAACATTTACATTTACGTCATTTAGCAGACGCTCTTATCCAGAGCGACTTACAGTTAGTGAATACATATATATATTTTTTTGTAATTTTTTGTTTTTTTTCAAACTGGTCCCCCGTGGGAATCAAACCCACAACCCTGGCGTTGCAAACGCCATGCTCTATCAACTGAGCTACATCCCTGCCGGCCATTCCCTCCCCTACCCTGGACAACGCTAGGCCAATTGTGCACCGCCCATGAGTCTCCCAGTCGCGGCCGGCTGCGACAGAGCCTGGGTTCGAACCAGGATCTCTAGTGGCACAGCTAGCACTGCGATGCAGTGCCTTAGACCACTGCGCCACTTTGGCTGATATTATGTTTGAGTTCACAAGAAAATATAAGCACTTTGAGCTTTGGAAAAGTCCTAATCAATTACTATTATTAAGAATATAAGATATAAGGTATGACCTTTAAAGCTAAATTACTAAAGCAGGAAGCACCAGTGACTGGGTTAATAAGGAAGTGGTCAGATGACGCAGATGCTAAGCTACAGGACCATTTTAACAAAGGACGAGCTAAATCACTTCTATGCTCACTTTGAGGCAAGCAAAACTGAAGAATGCATGAGAGCATCAGCTGTTCCGGATGACTATGTGATCACGCTCTCCGTAGCCGATGTGAGTAAGACTTTTAAACAGGTCAACATTCACAAGGCCGCAGGGCTAGACGGATTACCAGGACGTGTACTCCGAGCATGCGCTGACCATCTGGCAAGTGTCTTCACTGACATTTTCAACATGTCCCTGACTGAGTCTGTAATACCAACATGTTTCAAGCAGACCACCATAGTCCCTGTGCCCAAGAACACTAAGATAACCTGCCTAAATGACTACCGACCCGTAGCACTCACGTCTGTAGCCATTAAGTGCTTTGAAAGGCTGGTCATGGCTCAAATCAACACCATTATCCCAGAAACCCTAGACCCACTCCAATTTGCATACCGCCCCAACAGATCCACAGATGATGATGATAATAATAATAATATGCCATTTAGCAGACGCTTTTACCCAAAGCAACTTATAGTCATGTATGCATACATTTTTATGTATGGGTGGTCCCGGGGATCGAACCCACTACCCTGGCGTTACAAGCGCCATGCTCTACCAATTGAGCTACAGAGGACCACATTTCACACCTGGACAAAAGGAACACCTACGTGAGAATGCTATTCATTGACTACAGCTCAGCGTTGAACACCATAGTGCCCTCAAAGCTCATCACTAAGCTAAGGACCCTGGGACTAAACACCTCCCTCTGCAACTGGATCCTGGACTTCCTGACGGGCCACCCCCAGGTGGTAAGGGTAGGTAACAACACATATGCCACGCTGATCCTCAACACGGGGGCCCCTCAGGGGTGCATGCTCAGTCCCCTCCTGTACTCCCTGTTCACCCATGACTGCATGGCCAGGCATGACTCCAACACCATCATTAAAGTTTACCGACGACACAACAATGGTAGGCCTGATCACGGACAACGATGAGACAGCCTATAGGGAGGAGGTCAGAGACCTGGCCGTGTGGTGCCAGGATAACAACCTCTCCCTTAACATGATCAAGACAAGGGAGATGATTGTGGACTACAGGAAAAAAAAGTGGACTGAGCATGCCCCCATTCTCATCGACGGGGCTGTAGTGGAACAGGTTGAGAGCTTCAAGTTCCTTGGTGTCCACATCACCAACAAACTATCATGGTCCAAACACACCAGTGTTGTGAAGAGGGCACGACAAAGCCTATCCCCCCTCAGGAGGCTGAAAAGAGTTGGCATGGGTCCTCAGATCCTCAAAAAGTTCTACAGCTGCACCATCGAGAGCATCCTGACTGGTATGGCAACTGCTCGGCCTCCGACCGCAAGGTACTACAGAGGATAGTGCGTACGGCCCAGTACATTACTGGGGCCAAGCTTCCTGCCATCCAGGACCTCTAAACCAGGCGGTGTCAGAGGAAGGCCCTAAAAATTGTCAAAGAATACAGCCACCATAGTTATAGACTGTTCTCTCTGCTACCGCACGGCAAGCGGTACCGGAGCACCAAGTCTAGGTCCAAAAGGTTTCTTAACAGCTTCTACCCCCAAGCAATAAGACTCCTGAACAGCTAATCATGGCTACCCGGACTATTTGCATTGCACCCCCACCCCACCCCACCACACCCCAAACCCCTTTTTTATGCTGCTGCTACTCTGTTTATTATTTATGCATAGTCACTTTAACTCTACCCACATGTACATATTACCTCAATTACCGCACATTGACTCTGTACCGGTACCCCATGTATATAGCCTCCCTACTGTTATTTTATTTCACTGCTGCTCTTTAATTATTTGCTATTTTCAATATTTTACTTAACACTTTTTGTTATTTTTTTCTCTTAAAAAACTGCATTTTTGATTAAGGGCTTCTAAGTAAGCATTTCACTGTAACATTTTATTTTATTTTATTTACTGCTGTCCAAAGTCCACTCCATTTCAGTGGCTTCTGTGCATTATTGGCTGAACTAAGGCTATTCTGACTAAAGACAAGGCCTATTGAAACCTGGGTTGTGTTCAGCAAGGCACACTGTGGAAAAATGTAAATCAGTGTTTATCAATGGAATAGCTCAGGTACCAACTTTACTTGGTTCAAAAATGTTCTCTCCCGTTCCGTGCCTTTGTCTTCTCAAAAGGGCAAAACATAGATGAAGACTGAATCAATAGCAACTCGCAAGGATGAAAATCTAAACTGGACAAGGGCAGGAATTGTAAGGTATCTGTCATGAGGGTTCTGTATTTACAGGACAAAAGAGCTGGATAGGAATAACAATAACAAATGATTCCACACTAAGAAATAAGAACCAATTAGACAAGTTTGCATCAAAGATACATAGACCTCCTCCTCGGGATCATCTTTCACTTTCTACACAGTTCACACAATTATGTATGTATACGCATAATGAGCATATCAGTGAATATATATATATATATACAGTTGAAGTCAGAAGTTTACATACACTTAGGTTGGAGTCATTAAAACTCATTTTTCAACCACTCCACAAATGTCTTGTTCCCAAACTATAGTTTTGGCAAGTCGGTTAGGACATCTACTTTGTGCATGACACAAGTAATTTTTCCAACAATTGTTTACAGACAGATTATGTCACTTATAATTCATTGTATCACAATTCCAGTGGGTCAGAAGTTTACATAAACTAAGTTGACTGTGCCTTTAAACAGCTTGGAAAATTCCAGAAAATGATTTAATGGCTTTAAAAGCTTCTGATAGGCTAATTGACATCATTTGAGTCAATTGGAGGTGTACCTGTGGATGTATTTCAAGGCCTATCTTCAAACTCAGTGCCTCTTTGCTTGACATCATGGAAAAATGTAAAGAAATCAGCCAAAAAAATGGTACACCTCCACTAGTCTGGTTCATCCTTGGGAGCAATTTCCAAACGCCTGAAGGTACCACGTTCATCTGTACATCCCAACCGTGAAGCACGGGAGTGGTAGCATCATGCTGTGGGGGTGCTTTGCTGCAGGAGGGACAGGTGCACTTCACAAAATAGATGGCATCATGAGGAAGGAAAATTATGTGGATATACTGAAGCAACATCTCAAGACATCAGTCAGGAAGTTAAAGCTTGGTTGCAAATGGGTCTTCCAAATGGACAATGACCCCAAGCATACTTCCAAAGTTGTGGCAAAATGGCTTAAGGACAACAAAGTCAAGGTATTGGAGTGGCCATCACAAAGCCCTGACCTCAATCCTATAGAACATTTGTTGGCAGAACTGAAAAAGCGTGTGCGAGCAAGGAGGCCTACAAACCTGACTCAGTTACACCAGCTCTGTCAGGAGGAATGGGCCAAAATTCACCCAACTTATTGTGGGAAGCTTGTGGAAGGCTACACGAAACGTTTGACCCAAGTTAAACAATTTAAAGGCAATGCTACCAAATACTAATTGAGTGTACGTAAACTTAAATAAATAAAAGCTTAAATAAATCATTCTCTCTACTATTATTCTGACATTTCACATTCTTAAAATAAAGTGGTGATCCTAACTGACCTAAGACAGGGAATTTTTACTAGGATTAAATGTCAGGAATTGTGAAAAACTGAGTTTAAACGTATTTGGCTAAGGTGTATGTAAACTTCAGACTTCAACTGTATATAAAATGTTGCATAATAGGGGGCCTAAGGCACTGCATCAAGCCGATGTTTTAACTAGGCCACACTGACTCTCCTGCTTTTACCTCCATTTTGCCCTCTCAATGACAACCTCTCGCCCTCTCTCTATCCATCTTGCTCTCTCTGTTAGTCTTTTTCCCTTAAATGTCTGTTTCTATTTGGTCCCTGCGTAGGCAAGCTGGCTGAAATGGAACACTGCACAAACAAATGTTTGTTCTGGCCCCTGCAAACCCAGGAGACAGTGGGTTGTAGCTGGTGTGTGCGCGTGTGTGTGTGGACCAGCTGTCTCCATCCTGTCCCACCAGTGATTGCCTCCAGTGGGACCACTGGGACTGGGGCTAGAGGAGGGGGAGGGGCCGCGTGCCAATTGCTTCGGGGTTAGGGGCCAGAGAGTGGGAGGAGTTGCCACCTTAAGAAAACATAAGGGGTCACTGCGTTGACTGGTTGCTTCTTGTCTCCAGTCTCTCATTTCTCTCTCTCTGCCTCCACTCCCTTATTCCCTCTCTGTGTCTCTCTCTCCATTACAGTCTATAGATATTCTCTTTGTATACTGCCGTCTCCATCTTTGTCTCTCAGAAGAGATACCAATCACTGCCTGTAAATATGTATTGTTTTTATCAATCGTTCCTTTGCTCTACCTCTATCTACAACTTTTCCCATCCTAATCACTCATCAGTGGCGCTTTATTTCCCCCTACCTTTTTCCCTGCGTCCTTCTCCTACGAGGGGGAACTGGCTTTAATAATCAAAGAAAATAAAGTGTGGGTAGACAGTCGGGGGGGGGGGGGATTGATTAAACCGTCAACGAAAAAAGGGAAATAAAAACCTGACAGAAGGAGGTGTAATGAGGGTGGAGACATCGAGAGGGGGTGGATCAGAATTTGCACATGATTTATTCATAAAAAGTGTGTGTGGGGGGGGTGGAAATGGGAGGGGGGGATTAAGACTGAAGGTGCCACCTGAACCAACCTCGATCCCACCAGCTTATCCACACGCCCCACGCCCCTCTGCCATCCCTTGAGCCCTCGGGCCCTCTGGCACGGGGACTTGAAGGGCCGTTAATTGTCACCCGAACACGGTTTTAATCACATTGCCGTTACCTCCCCCTCCACAACAGAAGACCTTCCATGCCCTCCGGGGCGTGACTAAACTAAGGCGGGGGGGGGGGGGGGGGACGTGTGCCGTCATTAACACTGGGTCCCATATGCTGTGGCCAGTATCCGGGGAGGCCCCTCAGTAGCACACCCCTTCCACCACACACACCCTCGTACCCCCCTTCAGCTCCCTGTGGAATAGATGCGTAGGAGGGGATTACACACCGGCGCTCTAATGAATAACTAAGCCAGCACTAATGGAGACCCCATCTCCCCCTCCCTTACTTTAGCCATCCATCCCTCCCTCCACGTTTGATCCGTCCCTTAACCCCAAGCCTGTGGCACGCTTCGTCCACGTTCCGCATATGGCTGGTCACGCTCGAGAGACAAATAAATAACCACCTCACACACACACGACCCCCCCCCCCCCCCCCACCCCCACTGGGGTCCCGTCTGGAGAGAGACCCCTGCTACATGTTTAATTCTCTCTCTCTCTCTCCCTCTCTCGCTCTCTCGCTGCCAGCTTTTTCTTATTGTCTCACTGCTCCAAAGAGAAAGGGGGAGTGCCTGCATGTGTGTGTGTGTGAGGGGACTGAATGAGGAGTTGCCTTGGAAACGGGAGGCACACTGATCTGCCGCAGTGAAGAAATGGGGGGAGAGGGAGAGAGACAGAGTTGAGAGAGTGAGAATGAGCAAGGAGCTAGTGTGTAAGAGTGTGGGTGTCTGTGTGCATGTGTGTGTGTTAGAGAGAGAGAGGAGAGAGGGAAAGAGAGTGGCAGGGTGTGGTTAACAAAGTCCCTGCAGTGAACAGGGGAAGAGTGAGAGAGGGAACTTGGGAAAGAGACTTAAAGATGTGTGGGTCTGTGTGTGCATATGTGGGCACGTGGTTTGTGTGTTATGTGTGTGTGCGGGTGTAGTTTGAGAAAGTCATTGAATAAAAAGCCTCTCCCGCGCATTAATGTCAAGAGCATTGCAGCAGAGCCCAAGGGCAGAGGGACACTTCCATTGATATGCAATCACTCTCCACTCCAGTGTGGACTGGTCCCATTAAAATGACACACAGACACACACACACACACACACCCAACCCCCTCCTAACGCAGCAGGCGTAAAAAGACGCCTGAGTGGAGTTCCCACATCCGGTTTTCAGCGGAAAAGAAAGCTAGGTTGAATTAGCTGTATCCCTAAAAAGCGGACGGGGTGCCCCCTCCCAGACATGCTGGTCGCTCTAGATGGAGTGCATAGCGACATAATGTGTCACCCCAGTTTTGCATGCCTATTCATTTTCCCAGTGAGAGCACTGCAGGTAGAATGAACAGGGTCTACAGAGCCATAAACAGTCCCAATCACAGTCAATGGAACAGATAACATTTTCCACTGCAACCAGTTGTCAATTCTCCATACAAACAGCCACATGAAGATTGTCAACAGTAGCACCACCGATGGTCAATGCACAAAGGATCTTGAGGTATCAACTGGTCAGCCAAGATGCCTGTGTTGTGTTAAAAAGTCACGAAACGGAAGAAAACATTCCAGAACTAATAAAATGAGGACGTACTATCTGAACGTGTCTAATAAGAAACACTGGTTTTCGTTTCACGTTGCAACGCTCTTTAAAACCTTATGCCCTGATGAACAAGACTACTAGGTTTCAAAGATTAAAAAACGTTAATAGTGTGAGAAGAAAATAATCACAATTATATTTTAACATAGTCAATCATGTTTAACAATAGTTGTTAAAAACACCAAATTGCATTGCTGGTACAATTTAAAACATTGTGTGTGGGTTTGATTGGATAATAGAGCCGTGAAACACTGATTGTGATCTGGTAGTCGGGATTAACATGGGTAACCGGGATCCCGGGTCTGTCCCGGGAACACTTCACATTGTAATGACAAAACCTGGGAAATTACAAAATTTCTCCCCAATGTCGCCACTAATGCAATTCCACAAAATACACAACACAAGCAGCATCAGATTAGCAAAAAATAAAATAGCACATTATACAAACAGGGTGTCGCATGGAAGCCTTTAGCCCAGTGTATTTACTTCACACAAAGTCTGCATAAATTCAAAGCACACGCATAATTGACACTGCCGGCCTGCACACATGACCCGAATGCAGTTAATAAACCCTACAGGAAATCCCTAAAGTATAGCCTATAAAAGAACATGTGCCTCTTTGAGCTGTCATTGTGACTCTTCAGAAATTCACAAATTTGATAGGTCTATGCATAATTCACTACATATGTGTCTGTCACAGACATGAAGTCTGTTAGCATTTTCTCTCATGCCTCTCTGAATTGTTATCTTCTCCTGTCCTAGAGCCTAGGCTATTTTTCTATCCAATCCCAATCCCACTGAAACCCAAAATCCTGACTCCTGTCTCGCATGAAAACTCCTAACTTTATTCTGTAATACTGTATATAGGTTGCATTATCAAAGCCTATGCATGTCAAGATACCCCCCGCTTCTCTTGCTGCCTATACAGTGGGGGAAAAAAATATTTAGTCAGCCACCAATTGTGCAAGTTCTCCCACTTAAAAAGATGAGAGAGGCCTGTAATTTTCATCATAGGTACACGTCAACTATGACAGACAAATTGAGAAGAAATAAATCCAGAAAATCACATTGTAGGATTTTTTATGAATTCACCTACAAACAAGCAAGATTTCTGGATCTCACAGACCTGTAACTTCTTCTTTAAGAGGCTCCTCTGTCCTCCACTCGTTACCTGTATTAATGGCACCTGTTTGAACTTGTTATCAGTATAAAAGACACCTGTCCACAACCTCAAACAGTCACACTCCAAACTCCACTATGGCCAAGACCAAAGAGCTGTCAAAGGACACCAGAAACAAAATTGTAGACCTGCACCAGGCTGGGAAGACTGAATCTGCAATAGGTAAGCAGCTTGGTTTGAAGAAATCAACTGTGGGAGCAATTATTAGGAAATGGAAGACATACAAGACCACTGATAATCTCCCTCGATCTGGGGCTCCACGCAGGATCTCACCCCGTGGGGTCAAAATGATCACAAGAACGGTGAGCAAAAATCCCAGAACCAGACGGGGGGACCTAGTGAATGACCTGCAGAGAGCTGGGACCAAAGTAACAAAGCCTACCATCAGTAACACACTATGCCGCCAGGGACTCAAATCCTGCAGTGCCAGACGTGTCCCCCTGCTTAAGCCAGTACATGTCCAGGCCCGTCTGAAGTTTGCTAGAGTGCATTTGGATGATCTAGAAGAGGATTGGGAGAATGTCATATGGTCAGATGAAACCAAAATAGAACTTTTTGGTAAAAACTCAACTCGTCGTGTTTGGAGGACAAAGAATGCTGAGTTGCATCCAAAGAACACCATGCCTACTGTGAAGCATGGGGGTGGAAACATCATGCTTTGGGGCTGTTTTTCTGCAAAGGGACCAGGACGACTGATCCGTGTAAAGGAAAGAATGAATGGGGCCATGTATCGTGAGATTTTGAGTGAAAACCTCCTTCCATCAGCAAGGGCATTGAAGATGAAACGTGGCTGGGTCTTTCAGCATGACAATGATCCCAAACACACCGCCCGGGCAACGAAGGAGTGGCTTCGTAAGAAGCATTTCAAGGTCCTGGAGTGGCCTAGCCAGTCTCCAGATCTCAACCCCATAGAAAATCTTTGGAGGGAGTTGAAAGTCCGTGTTGCCCAGCGACAGCCCCAAAACATCACTGCTCTAGAGGAGATCTGCATGGAGGAATGGGCCAAAATACCAGCAACAGTGTGTGAAAACCTTGTGAAGACTTACAGAAAACATTTGACCTGTGTCATTGCCAACAAAGGGTATATAACAAAGTATTGAGAAACTTTTGTTATTGACCAAATACTTATTTTCCACCATAATTTGCAAATAAATTCATTAAAAATCATACAATGTGATTTTCTGGATTTGTTGTTGACGTGTACCTATGATGAAAATTACAGGCCTCTCTCATCTTTTTAAGTGGGAGAACTTGCACAATTGGTGGCTGACTAAATACTTTTTTCCCCCACTGTATGAGAGCTTCAGTAGATAATTAACAAATGGTATGAGAGTAGATATGGATATTTTTAAAACAGAGTTGGTCCCCATCATGATATTTAAACTATACTGAACAAAAATATAAAATGCAACATGCAACAATTTCAAAGATTTTACTGAGTTACAGTTCATATAAGGAAATCAGTCAATTGAAATAAATTCATTAGGCCTTTATCTATGGATTTCACATGACTGGGCCTTGGAGGGCATAAGTCCACCCACTTGGCAGCCAGGCCCACCCACTGGGGAGCCAGGCCCAGCCAATCAGAAGGAGTTTTCCCCCACAAAAGGGCTTTATTACAGACAGATATACTCCTCAGCATTCCCCCCCACCTCCCCTCAGACGATCCCGCAGGTGAAGAAGCCGGATGTGGTGGTCTTGGGCTGGTGTGGTTACACGTGGTCTGCGGTTGTGAGGCCGGTTGGACGTACTGCCAAATTCTCTAAATAAACATTACATTCTCTGGCAACAGCTCTGGTGGACATTCCTGCAGTCAGCATGCCAATTGCATGCTCACTCAAAACTTGAGACATCTGTGGCATTGTGTTGTGTGACAGAACTGCACATTTTAAAGTGACCTTTTATTGTCCCCAGCACAAGGTGCACCTGTGTAATGATCATGCTGTTTAATCAGCTTCTTGATGCCATACCTGTCAGGTGGATGGATTATCTTGGCAAATGAGAAATGCTCACTAACAGGGATGTAAACAAATTTGTGCACAAAATTCGAGAGAAATTAGCTTTTTGTGCGTATAGAAAATGAATGGGATTTTTTATTTCAGCTCATGAAACATGGGACCAACACTTCATGTTTCATTAATTTTTTGTTCAGTGTATTTGCATAATCTCCCCATTACTCATGAGCTGATCTGCTATCTGTATACTCATCAACTCGATTTTGCCAAATATAGGAGGTATTCTGTCATTCGTTGAAGGAGGTTATCTAGCAAGTTTAGCAACTTTAGTCATTTGACTTTTGTCATTTGACTGCCGTTACAACGTTTGTATGATTCGACAATGCTATACTCGGGGTGCGCTCTGTGCGTCTTGAGCGCACTCTGTGTAGAGATAGCCTACTGCTGAAATGCGCTGAATTAATTGAGGAACATGATAATGCTTGACATTTATGAACGGCCTGTTTCGCAATCCACAACAATGTAATTGGAAATCAAAGATAGTTACTCTATCATTACTAAATCTCAGTTTAATTTGACAGTTTAAAGTCTGCTTGACAGAGTCGCTAACCTTAGCTAGCTAGCTAAGCTGCTAGCCATCAAGCTAACGAAGATAGCTGATTGGATGGAGGCCTCTCCATTCAGAGGAAGATGCGAATGCTTCCTGCGTTGTAGGAGTTGTGTTTACTATGCTCTTTTCCGGGACACTGTGGGCCGACCGGATTTTCAATGCAACAACTGCCTACTTGCGGAGGACTATAGAATAGAGCTGTCTACCCTAAGCAAGCAAATTTCAACGTTGCACAATTTGCTGGGGAAATCACTTCCGCCTACCTTCTCCTTCTCTACACTTCTGATATGGTGAGAGAATCACAGCCCTGTCACCACTCTTTGACTGACTTGCCAGTGCTTCACAGAGACCTCTCACCGAAGAAGTCTCCCCCACTTGTGAAAATTGAACAGGACCGACGCTTCTAGAGAGCCTAGCGGATGCCACAGTCTCTGATCTCGCTATCCAGCAATGGAATCACATCACCCTTCGTAAGCCTAATGGAAGGCAGTGGTCAATGGTGAACAGAGCTTCTTTGGCTTTGGGAAGCCCAATCCAGACATCAAACAGCTTCGTCCCCCTGGCCTCGGAGGTTGCCGTGCCATTGTCCTCTACCCTGTTTCCAACCCAGGGGGATCCTACCTCGGGTTCAGATCTTCAGAGCTCTCACCTCATCGGACCGTGAGGGTGTCTCAGACGCCGGCCCCTTCGTCAGCCACAATGGATTCTACGACTGGCTCGGGTCCATCGAGCCTCACCTCCCATCGGTCCTCGAGGGGTCTCCTAAACCCCTTCAGGCGGAAAAACGACGAACCTCCTTGGCCATTTCACCAGCTGTCACCATCGGCAGCTCTATGGTGAGAAATATATTGGTTCCCGGGGCAAAAACCCTGTGCTATCCTGGAGCACGAGTACAGGAAATGACAAGGCTACTTCCTACCGTTCTATGACAGCTGCTGGGTCCTGACGCTGTCGTATTCCATGTGGGGTCGAACGGCATTAGGAGGGCTAGCCCCGAACTGTTGAAACTGGATTTTAAAGAACTGTTTCTAGCTCTGAAAGACTCCAAAACACAGCTGATTATTTCAGGCCCTGTGCCATCGCTGGGACGCGGCTGCGAAAGATTCAGCAGGCTACTGGCATTACACATCTGGCTAAAGGACTACTGTAGCTCTGTTGGGATAACTTTTATAGATACTTTGACACCTTTTGAAAACAGAAGATGCTCTACAGGAATGATGGAGTCCATCGAAATCATTTTGTTGCCTGGCCGCGAGAGACAATGAGTTATTAGTGACCCAAGACCTACTCTGATAATCCCTACCATTGTGTAGCTGAGTTGTCGTAGTGCTGCTGCTAATGTACAATGTCCCAGGGGTGTTGGAAGTGTAACAGTGGAGGCTGCTGAGGGGAGGACGACTCATAATAATGTCCAGAATGGAGTGAATGGAATGGCATGAATGTGAATGTGAATGGAAACACATGAGTGTGTTTGATACCATTCGATTCTCTCCATTCCAGCCATTATACTCCATTCCAGACATTATTATGAGCCTTCCTCCCCTCAGCAGCCTCCACTGTAATGTAAGTAACCTAATTTATGTTCCTCTATCTCCCCTGAATGCCTCTGTCAATCCAACAGCAGTAATCATGCGTACATGAACCTGAGTTATACTGTTAGGACTGAGGCGGTTTGCCCTAGTAGGGAGCCGCACTATATGCAGTTCACCCTGCACTATCAGCTCATAAATAAATATCACTGTCATGTCTACCTCTGACAAGCCTTCCAGTAAAGCAAAAAACAACCAAGAATCCTAGAAAAGCGCTAGAAATAGCCCACATTAACATATGTAGCCTGAGAAACAAGGTCATGAAATCGATAACTTGCTAGTAATAGATGACATTCATATACCGACTATCTCTGAAACTGACCTAGATAACACCTTTGATGATACAGTGGTAGCAATACACTGTTTCAACATCTTCAGAAGAGACATGAATGCCAATGGTGGAGGTGTTGCCATTTATATTCAGAGTTATTTCCTGTAAAGCTTAGAGAGGATCTCATGTCAAATACTGTTGAAGTAATATGGCTACAGGTTCACCTGCCTCACCTAAAGCCTATAATTGTGGGAAGTTGCTATAGACCATCACGTGCTAACATTCAGTATATGGATAATATGTGTGAAATGCTTGATAATGTATGTGATATCAACAGAGAGGTATATTTTCTGGGTGACCTAAATATTGAATAGCTTTCATCAAGCTGCCCACTCAAGAAAAAGCTTCAAACTGTAACCTGGTTCAGGTTATCAGTCAACCTACCAGGGTATTTACAAACGGCAAAGGAAAGAAATCATCCACATGTATTGATCACATCTTTACTAATGCTGCTCTAAACCAGTATCCACATCCATTGGATATAGTGATCATAATTTAGTAGCCATGTTTGGAAAACCAAAGTTCCAAAGGCTGGGCCTAATATGGTGTATAAGAGATCATATAAGAGGTTGTCGTGACGTGAATTACTTTAATGTATGACTGTTTTATATCGAATCACCTAACTATGTTTAATTGTCACTCAATTAAATTAATCATGTAACAATTAACTCATTAGGAATTTGGGGTACCACGGAAGAAGTTGTTTAACGAGTTACCATCTCCCGAATTAAACTCTTAGAAGATATACAGTGAGGGAAAAAAGTATTTGATCCCCTGCTGATTTTGTACGTTTGCCCACTGACAAAGACATGATCAGTCTATAATTTTAATCGTAGGTTTATTTGAACAGTGAGAGACAGAATAACAAAAATGTTATCAATTGATTTGCATTTTAATGAGGGAAATAAGTATTTGACCCCTCTGCAAAACATGACTTAGTACTTGGTGGCAAAACTCTTGTTGGCAATAACAGAGGTCAGACGTTTCTTGTAGTTGGCCACCAGGTTTGCACACATCTCAGGAGGGATTTTGTTCCACTCCTCTTTGCAGATCTTCTCCAAGTCATTAAGGTTTCGAGGCTGACGTTTGGCAACTCAAACCTTCAGCTCCCTCCACAGATTTTCTATGGGATTAAGGTCTGGAGACTGGCTAGGCCACTCCAGGACTTTAATGTGCTTCTTCTTGAGCCACTCCTTTGTTGCCTTGGCCGTGTGTTTTGGGTCATTGTCATGCTGGAATACCCATCCACGACCCATTTTCAATGCCCTGGCTGAGGGAAGGAGGTTCTCACCCAAGATTTGACGGTACATGGTCCCGTCCATCGTCCCTTTGATGGTGTGAAGTTGTCCTGTCCCCTTAGCAGAAAAACACCCCCAAAGCATAATGTTTCCACTTCCATGTTTGACGGTGGGGATGGTGTTCTTGGGGTCATAGGCAGCATTCCTCCTCCTCCAAACACGGCGAGTTGAGTTGATGCCAAAGAGCTCGATTTTGGTCTCATCTGACCACAACACTTTCACCCAATTCTCCTCTGAATCATTCAGATGTTCATTTGCAAACTTCAGATGGCCCTGTATATGTGATTTCTTGAGCAGGGGGACCTTGCAGGCGCTGCAGGATTTCAGTCCTTCACGGCGTAGTGTGTTACCAATTGTTTTCTTGGTGACTATGGTCCCAGCTGCCTTGAGATCAATGACAAGATCCTCCCATGTAGTTCTGGGTTGATTCCTCACCGTTCTCATGATCATTGCAACTCCACAAGGTGAGATCTTGCATGGAGCCCCAGGCCGAGGGAGATTGACAATTATTTTGTGTTTCTTCCATTTGCGAATAATCGCACCAACTGTTGTCACCTTCTCACCAAGCTGCTTGGCGATGGTCTTGTAGCCCATTCCAGCCTTGTGTAGGTCTACAATCTTGTTCCTGACATCCTTGGAGAGCTCTTTGGTCTTGGCCATGGTAGAGAGTTTGGAAACTGATTGATTGATTGCTTCTGTGGACAGGTGTCTTTTATACAGGTAACAAGCTGAGATTTGGAGCACTCCCTTTAAGAGTGTGCTCCTAATCTCAGCTCGTTACCTGTATAAAAGACACCTGGGAGCCAGAAATCTTTCTGATTGAGAGGAGGTCAAATACTTATTTCCGTCATTAAAATGCAAATCAATTTATAACATTTTTGACATGCATTTTTCTGAATTATTTTGTTGTTATTCTGTCTCTCACTGTTCAAATAAACCTACCATTAAAATTATAGACTGATCATTTCTTTGTCAGTGGGCAAACACACAAAATCAGCAGGGGATCAAATACTTTTTTCAATCACTGTATATGTTACATATCGATAACAGTCACTTACTAAATAATTACCTCTTATCAGTCTCATTCTGAACGTCGCATAATCCTTGAACTTGCAAGAACCCTAACCTTATTGATGAATCAGCAATACACAAATTGGCTTAACTATTTATTTACTAACTAAATAATAACACAACACAAACACACATAGGTTATAGATTACTAACGTAATACAATGAAAACAGGTCCCTAGTGGACTGGACTAACTTTAGCATGAATGCTTGGGTAGTGGAGCAGTCAGAATGGAAGGGAGAGACAGAGATTCAAACTATCGTGGTTACTTTGGAAACTACACTACACGGAAATACAAATGATTAAACCCCCACTAAACGCTAATGGGATTAGAAATGCAACATGTATTTACGTGTAGCTGTCCTCAATAGTTCAGTTGATGATGTAGGACTCTGGTTTGCCCACCAGAGATCCCAATGTACTTGGTAGAATTTCTGGTCGTAGTGGTGGTTAGAATGGATACTTCAGATGTACCAGCGGTTGTCGGAGAGGAATTGTCCTTTCCAACTCATATCTTTAGTGAAAGTTCTCTAGACGACTATACATACCAGCTGCAGACTGAAATGATAAGGTCTAGTGCATTGTCTTCTTCTTCACCTTGTGTAGAGGTTGAGAGTTTTAAAGTTTCTCAATTTTCTCACGTTTCTCACGTTTTCTGGTCTGGTAGAAATTCAACCATTTGCAACGTTTAGCTCACGCTTCACGTCTGCTGGTCTAAAGAGTTTCAACCATTTTAAGCTGTGGGGCTTGCTGGTCTGGTAGAAATTCAACCATTTGCAGCGTTTAGCTCACGCTTCACATCTGCTGGTCTAATGTTTAAATGTTTTTCAAGGCTTTTTATGCACTCAGGTAAAAGGTGCGTTCCATCATGTTTGTGCTCATCTGGGCATGGCCACTGACTGAGAACAAATCAATATTAAAAACAAAAATCTCATCTAGAATGCTAAAATCACATTGTTATCTTCACAAAAGTATTATTATACTTAATCATTAATTTTATACAACAATTAGATGCAAACCTCATAACAGGGAAGTGAACCCCCCCAGAGATACAGTTATGTTGTTCCACCGTCTTTAATGACATCACAACACAGTAACACATTTGACATGATTGTTCTTTAAGTCCCCACCAACCATTTCCCACATACTTTTAAGTAGGAATGTTGTTTCATTATGGATGTTGGAGTTTTGGCGGGAAGACTTCCTTTGTTAACAAAGGGGTCCTTTCTTACAATACTTCATGGCAAGGAAGAGAAAGTCTGCACAGTATTTACGACCGGTCATAAAACTGACCCCCAGGAAAGGGGGTGTTCAAACCTTTGCCTAGCCGGCATGTTTGATCCTCAACCCATGAAGGCAAGTCATGACAAGGTTTTGTAGTGATTCCTATGTTAAAGATGTAAAGAATATTTGCTGGTCTGTTGTGTGTAATGAGGAGCAACCAGACGCTGCACTTGACACATTTATAACATTTCTTATTCGAGTTACAGTACTAATAAGTATGCACCCATTAAGAAAATGACTCTAAGTGTCAGGATTGAGTGTAGAGGTAGTGTAGAATCAGGCGCAGGACACACAGAGGTTTCGAACAGCGTCTTTAGTAAAGTCCAAAAACAAGCCACACACGGCAACAGGCTACAGGCGAACTTTACGCACAACGGTAAAGTATGCTAAAGGCGCACAAAGTGCGGAACTCTCTCTCAAAGACTAAAATACAGAGAGAACAGAATAAACGAACTAGCACACAACGTGACAATGAACAATTACACACAACACCTGACCAAACACAAGATAACTAAATAGGACGCATAATGAACACTAACAAGGAACAGGTGTAACCAACAGACAAAACCAATCAAACATAGAAACATAGAACGGTGGCAGCTAGTACTCCGGAGACGACGACCGCCGAAGCCTGCCCGAACAAGGAGAAGGAGCAGCCTCGGCCGAAACCGTGACACTAAGAACTGTTAAATCCCCATGGATTGATGAGGAATTGAAAAACTGTATGGTTGAGAGGGATTGTAAGTCGCTCTGGATAAGAGCGTCTGCTAAATGACGTAAATGTAAATGTAATGAGGTAAAAGGAATGGCAAATAAGTCTGGCTGCACAGCTGATCGTCAAACATACTGTAAATTGAGAAATCATGTCACTAAACAAAAATAAGAAGAAATTGTACTATGAAACAAAGATAAATTATATAAAGAATTATACTAAAAAGCTTTGGAGCAGCTTAAATTAAATCTTGGCAAAAAAAGGCGAACTCAGCTCCATCCTTCATTGAATAAGATGGTTCATTCATCACAAAACCCACTGATGTTGCCAACTACTTTAATACTTTTTTTTTAATTGGCAAGATTAGCAGATTTAGGCATGACAACAACAAACTCTGAAACTACTCATCCATTCATAACTGACCAAATTATGAAAAACAAGCGTTGTAATTATTATTCCGTAAAGTGAGTGTGGAAGACGTGAAAAAACTATTGTTGTCTAGCAACAATGACAAGCCACCTGGGTCTGACAACTTGGATGGAAAATTACTGAGGATGATAGCAGACTATATTGCAATTCCTATTTGCCATCTCTTCAATCTAAGCCTACAGAAAAGTGGAGGGAAGCAAAAGTCATTCCGCTACCCAAGAATAGCAAACCACCCTTTACTGGCTCAAACAGCTGACCAATCATTCTGTTACCAACCTTTAGTAAACTTTTTGAAGGTTTGACCAGATACAATGCTATTTCACAGGAAACAAAATAACAATTGACCTACAGCATGCTTACAGGGGCACTCAACATGTACAGCACTTACACAAATGACTGACGATTGGTTTAAAGAAATTGATAATAAGAAGCTGGTTGGAGTGGTTTTGTTAGACTTCAGTTTTTGACATTATCGATCATAATTTGCTGCTGGAAAAACGTATGTGTTATGGCTTCACATCCCCTGCTATATCGTGGATCGACAGTTACCTGACTAACAGAACACAGAGGGTGTTCTTTAATGGAAGCCTCTCCAACATAATCCAGGTATAGTCGGGCATTCCCCAGGGCAGTTGTCTAGGCCCCTTACTTTTTTCAATCTTTACTAATGACCTGCCACTGGCACTGAGTAAAGCCTGTATGTATGCCAATGACTCAACATTATACACGTCAGTTACCACAGCAAGTAAAATCACTGCAACACTTAAAAAAGAGCTGCAGTCAGTTTTAGAATGTGTGGCAAGTAATAATCTAGTACTAAATATTTCAAAAACTAAAAGCACTTATTTGGGACAAACAATTCAATCAACCCTAAACCTCAATTAAATCTTGTAGTGAATAATGTGGACATTTAGTAAATTGAGGAGACTAAACTGCTTGGTGTAAGCCTGGATTTTAAACTGTCATGGTCAAAATATATTGATGCAACGGTACAGTTGAAGTCGGAAGTTTACATACAACTTAGCAAAATACATATAAACTCAGTTTTTCACAATTCCTCACATTTAATCCTAGTAAAAAGTCCCTGTCTAAGGTCAGTTAGGATCACAACTTTATTTTAAGAATGTGAAATATCAGAATAATAGTAGAGAGAATTATTTATTTCAGCTTTTATTTATTTCATCACATTCCCAGTGGGTCAGAAGTTTACATACACTCAATTAGTATCTGGTAGCATTGCCTTTAAATTGTTTAACTTGGGTCAAACGTTTCGGGTAGGATTCCACAAGCTTCCCACAATAAGTTGGGTGAATTTTGGCCCATTCCTCCTGACAGAGCTGGTGTAACTGAGTCAGGTTTGTAGGCCTCCTTGCTCGCACATGCTTTTTCAGTTCTGCCCACAAATGTTCTATAGGATTGAGGTCAGGGCTTTGTGATAGCCACTCCAATACCTTGACTTTGTTGTCCTTAAGCCATTTTGCCACAACTTTGGAAGTATGCTTGGGGTCATTGTCCATTTGGAAGACCCATTTGCGACCAAGCTTTAACTTCCTGACTGATGTCTTGAGATGTTGCTTCAATATATCCACATAATTTTCCTTCCTCATGATGCCATCTATTTTGTGAAGTGCACCAGTCCCTCCTGGACCAAAGCACCCCCACAGCATGATTCTGCCACCCCCATGCTTCTCGGTTGGGATGGTGTTCTTCGGCTTGCAAGTCCCACCTTTTTCCTCCAAACAGCGGTATGACGGCTGCGTGGTCCCATGGTGTTTATACTTGCGTACTATTGTTTGTACAGATCAACGTGGTACCTTCAGGCGTTTGGAAATTGCTCCCAAGGATGAACCAGACTTGTAGAGGTCTACATTTTCTTTTCTGAGGTCTTGGCTGATTTATTTTGATTTTCCCATGATGTCAAGCAAAGAGGCACTGAGTTTGCAGGTAGGCCTTGAAATACATCCACAGGTACACCTCCAATTGACTCAAATGATGTCAATTAGCCTATCAGAAGCTTCTAAAGCCATGACATCATTCTCTGGAATTTTCCAAGCTGTTTAAAGGCACAGTCAACTTAGTGTATGTAAACTTCTGACGCACTGGAATTGTTGTACAGTGAATTATAAGTTAAATAATCTGTCTGTAAACAATTGTTGGAAAAATTACTTGCCATGCACAAAGTAGATGTCCTAACCGACTTACCAAAACTATAGTTTGTTAACAATAAATCTGTGGAGTGGTTGAAAAACTAGTTGTAATGACTCCAACCTAAGTGTATGTAAACTTCCGACTTCAACTGTAGCTAAGATGGGGAGAGGTCTGTCCATAATAAAGGCTACTCTGCTGTCTTGACAAGGCTATCAACAAAACAAGTCCTACAGGCCCTAGTTTTGTCGCACCTGGACTACTGTCCAATCATATGGTCAATTGCCACAAAGAGGGACACAGGCAAATTACAGTTGGCAGCAGCTAATGGCAGCAGCTAATGGTGAGCCATAATAAATACAAAAAAACAATGAATATTAAACGTTTTATAGTATAAATCACACCAGCAACACACTTACCTATTCCCCGATTAACCAATCTTCAAAGTTTACACAAAAAATGAGGGGTTCAACCATAGTCGCGGGAAGTAGGGGTGCTGAGGGTGGTGCAGCACCACCTGAAAAATCTGAATAAAAAATATATATATTGGGGAGAACAAGTATTTGATACACTGCCGATTTTGCAGGTTTTCCTACTTACAAAGCATGTAGAGGTCAAATTTTTATCATAGGTACACTTCAACTGTGAGAGACGGAATGTAAAACAAAATCCAGAAAATCACATTATGATTTTTAAGTAATTAATTTGCATTTTATTGCATGACATAAGTATTTGATACATCAGAAAAGCAGAACTTCATATTTGGTACAGAAACCTTTGTTTGCAATTACAGAGATAATACGTTTCCTGTAGGTCTTGACCAGGTTTGCACACACTGCAGCAGGGATTTTGGCCCACTCCTCCATACAGACCTTCTCCAGATCCTTCAGGTTTCGGGGCTGTCGCTGGGCAATACGGACTTTCAGCTCCCTCCAAAGATTTTCTATTGCGTTCAGGTCTGGAGACTGGCTAGGCCACTCCAGGACCTTGAGATGCTTCTTACGGAGCCACTCCTTAGTTGCCCTGGCTGTGTATTTCGGGTCGTTGTCATGCTGGAAGACCCAGCCATGACCCATCTTCAATGCTCTTACTGAGGGAAGGAGGTTGTTGGCCAAGATCTCGCGATACATGGCCCCATCCATCCTCCCCTCAATACGGTGCAGTCGTCCTGTCCCCTTTGCAGAAAAGCATCCCCAAAGAATGATGTTTCCACCTCCATGCTTCACGGTTGGGATGGTGTTCTTGGGGTTGTACTCATCCTTCTTCTTCCTCCAAACACGGCGAGTGGAGTTTAGAACAAAAAGCTATATTTTTGTCTCATCAGACCACATGACCTTCTCCCATTCCTCCTCTGGATCATCCAGATGGTCATTGGCAAACTTCAGACGGGCCTGGACATGCGCTGGCTTGAGCAGGGGGACCTTGCGTGCGCTGCAGGATTTTAATCCATGACGGCGTAGTGTGTTACTAATGGTTTTCTTTGAGACTGTGGTCCCAGCTCTCTTCAGGTCATTGACCAGGTCCTGCCGTGTAGTTCTGGGCTGATCCCTCACCTTCCTCATGATCATTGATGCCCCACTAGGTGAGATCTTGCATGGAGCCCCAGACCGAGGGTGATTGACCGTCATCTTGAACTTCTTCCATTTTCTAATAATTGCGCCAACAGTTGTTGCCTTCTCACCAAGCTGCTTGCCTATTGTCCTGTAGCCCATCCCAGCCTTGTGCAGGTCTACAATTGTATCCCTGATGTCCTTACACAGCTCTCTGGTCTTGGCCATTGTGGAGAGGTTGGAGTCTGTTTGATTCAGTGTGTGGACAGGTGTCTTTTATACAGGTAACGAGTTCAAACAGGTGCAGTTAATACAGGTAATGAGTGGAGAACAGGAGGGCTTCTTAAAGAAAAACTAACAGGTCTGTGAGTGCTGGAATTCTTACTGGTTGGTAGGTGATCAAATACTTATGTCATGCAATAAAATGCAAATTAATTACTTAAAAATCATAATGTGATTTTCTGGATTTTGTTTTAGATTCCGTCTCTCACAGTTGAAGTGTACCTATGATAAAAATTACAGACCTCTACATGCTTTGTAAGTAGGAAAACCTGCAAAATCGGCAGTATATCAAATACTTGTTCTCCCCAATGTATATACAACAACAAAAAAGGTGCTACTAGTCCTGTATTAGCGGACCAACATAGCCGTCCGTTGGCGAAAAATCGCAGCACCCCCACCCCCAAACTACTTCCCGCGGCTCTGGGTTCAACATGGGTTCTTCCAAGATAGAGTAGCATTGCTCACAGAGTAGTATTGCTTTTTACGAATAATAACAAACAGAAAATGGCATGACAAATGTTTTTTACAACAATTTAACCCCAGTAGCAATGTCATAAAGACAAAAAGGCTTTTTGCACAGACCCTCCTAAGTTAAATTGAGAGATGAAGTATAAATACTATTGCAACGGATGTCTCCTTTGTAAAAAAAAATAAAAGGAGAGAGACTCTCGCAATGCCCTGACAAAAAGCTATTTTTAAGGAGGAACCATGTCAGAAAGGGGTTTGGATGCGCGCATCACTGATTCTACAGTGCATCCGGCTAAAACTGCACCGAAATCTTGTGAGTTGCTCCAAAATGAAAATGGGAGAGAAGCAGACCGAGCAGGAGCGAGAGAGCGAGAGAGGGAGCAAGAGGAAAAGAGAAGGAGTATGAGAGAATGGTAAAGAGGGAGAGAAATAGAGAAAGGGAATGCGAGAGAGAGAAAACAAAATATGTAATGAATGCCTTTCGCTCTCCTTTTTTGGAGGGAGGATTAACAAAACAGTGTATTCGTTTGGATGCAGATGGGGGCGTTCAATTATTGACGCCGTCAAAATGCCAGAGAGCATAGTCGGTGGAGGTTCCAAAAAAGTGTACACACTTCCAAACTCCGGGCCCATCAACTAAGGTTTAGTGTCTCTTATGGCCTGTTGGAAGAAGCACTCAGCACTCAGGGCGAGTCATGTGGTCGACGCACAATATTGGAATGGAGCTGTTTGTTTTGTAGCATCCAATAGACTATATTGGAATGGAGCCTTATGTTTTAGCGTCTGATGCACAATATTGGAATGGGGCCTTTTGTTTTGGACCATTCAACGATGTGTTCCAGAATAGCTCCTAATAGAACAATAAGACGGCTTCATTAAAACAACACAACAGTGTTTGTATTTGTATTTATTATGGATCCCCATTAGCTGCTGCCGAGGCAGCAGCTACTCTTCCTAGGGTCCGACAAAATTAAGGCAGTTACATTACAATAAATTCATAACAGATTTCACAACCCACTAAGTGTGTGAACTCAGGCCACTATGCCACTACCACATGTCTACAACACAAAATCCATGTGTACGTGTGTGTATAGTGCTTATGTTATCATGTGTGTGTGTATGCATGTGTCTGTGCCTATGTTTGTGTTGCTTCACAGTCCCCGCTGTTCCATAAGGTGTATTTTTATCTGTTTTTTAAATCTGATTCTACTGCTTGCATCAGTTACCTGATGTGGAATAGAATTCCATGTACAGTTGAAGTCGGAAGTTTACATACACTTAGGTTGGAGTCATTAAAACTTGTTTTTCAACCACTCCACAAATTTCTTGTTAACAAACTATAGTTCTGGCAAGTCGGTTAGGACATCTACTTTGTGCATGACAGAAGTAATTTTCCCAACAATTGTTTACAGACAGATTATTTCACTTATAATTCACTGTATCACAATTCCAGTGGGTCAGAAGTTTACATACACTAAGTTGACTGTGCCTTTAAACAGCTTGGAAAATTCAGGAAACTGACCTCATAGCTTTAGAAGCTTCTGATAGGCTAATTGACATCATTTGAATCAATTGGAGGTGTACCTGTGGATGTAATTCAAGGCCTACCTTCAAACTCAGTGCCTCTTTGCTTGACATCATGGGGAAATCAAAATAAATCAGCCAAGACCTCAGAAATAAATTGTAGACCTCCACAAGTCTGGTTCATTCTTCAGAGCAATTTCCAAATGCCTGAAGGTACCAAGTTCATCTGTGCAAACAATTGTACGCAAGTATAAACACCATGGGACCACGCAGCCGTCATACCGCTCAGGAAGGAGACGCGTTCGGTTTCCTAGAGATTAACGTACTTTCGTGCGAAAAGTGCAAATCAATCCCAGAACAACAGCAAAGGACCTTGTGAAGATGCTGGAGGAAACGGGTACAAAAGTATATATATCCACAGTAAAACGAGTCCTATATCAACATAACCTGAAAGGCCGCTCAGCAAGGAAGAACACCATCCCAACCGTGATACATGGGGGTGGCAGCATCATGCTGTGGGGGTGCTTTGCTGCAGGAGGGACTGGTGCACTTCACAAAATAGATGGCATCATGAGGAAGGAAGATTATGTGGATATATTGAATCAACATCTCAAGACGCATGGGTGTCTGAGCTGTGTGCTAGTCGTTTAAACAGACAGATCGGTGCTTTCAACATGTCAATACCTCTCACAAATACAAGTAGTGATAAAGTCAATCTCTCATCCACTTTGAGCCAGGAGAGATTGACATGCATATTGTTAATGTTAGCTCTCTGTGTACATCCAAGGGCCAGCCGTGCTGCCCTGTTCTGAGCCAATTGCAATTTGTTGCAAAAAAATAATAATTGCAAAAGTCCCTATTTTTGGCACCTGACCGCACGACTGAACAGTAGTCCAGGTGCGAGAAAACAAAGACCCTGTAGGACCTGCCTTGTTGATAGTGATGTTAAGAAGGTAAAGCAGCGCTTTATTATTGACAGACTACTCCCCATCTTAGCTACTGTTGTATCAATATGTTTTGACAATGACAGTTTACAATCCAGGGTTACTCCAAGCAGTTTAGTCACCTCAACTTGCTCAATTTCCACATTATTCATTACGAGATGTAGTTGAGGTTTAGGGTTTAGTGAATGATTTGTCCCAAATACAATGCTTTTAGTTTTGGAAATATTTAGGACTAACTTATTCCTTGCTACCCATTCCGAAACTAACTGCAGCTCTTTGTTAAGTGTTGCAGTCATTTCAGTTGCTGTAGTAGCTGACGTGTATAGTGTGGAGTCATCCACATACGTAGACACACTGGCTTTACTCAAAGACAGTGGCATGTCGTTAGTAAAGATTGGAAAACGAAGGGGTCTAAACAGCTACCCTGGGGAATTCCTGATTCTACCTGGATTATGTTTGAGAGTTTTCCATTAAAGAACACCCTCTGTGTTCTGTTAGACAAGTAACTCTTTATCCACATTATAGCAGGGGGTGTAAAGCCATAACACATACGTTTTTCCAGCAGCAGACTATGATCGATAATGTCAAAAGCTGCACTGAAGAAACAATCATTTTATCATAAATTTCTCTCAGCCAATCATCAGTCATTTGTGTAAGTGCTGTGCTTGTTGAGTGTCCTTCCCTATAAGCGTGCTGAAAGTCTGTTGTCAATTTGTTTACTGGGAAATAGAATTGTATCTGGTCAAACACCATTTTTTCCAGAAGTTTACTAAGGGTTGGTAACAGGCTTATTGGTTGGCTATTTGAGCCAGTAAAGGGGGCTTTACTATTCTTGGGTAGCGGAATGACTTTAACTTCCTTCCAGGCCTGAGGGCACACACTTTCTAGTAGGCTTAAATTGAAGATGTGGCAAATAGGAGTGGCAATATCGTCCGCTATTATCCTCAGTAATTTTCCATCCAGATTGTCAGACCCCGTGGCTTGTCATTGTTGATAGACAACAATACTTTTTTCACCTCTTCCACACTGACTTTACGGAATTCAAAAGTACAATTCGTCTTTCATAATTTGGTCAGATATACTTGGATGTGTAGTGTCAGTGTTTCTTGCTGGCATGTCATACCTAAGTTTGTTTATCTTGCCAATAAAACATTCATTAAAGTAGTTGGCAATATCAGTGGGTTTTGTGATGAATGAGCCATCTGATTCAATGAATGATGGAGCCGAGTTTGTCTTTTTCCCCAAAATGTCATTTAAGGTGTTCCAAAGCTTTTTACTATCATTGTTTATATAATTTATTTTTGTTTCATAGTATAGTTTCTTTTTCGTTTTATTAAGTTTAGTCACATGATTTCTTAATTTGCAGTATGTTTGCCAATCAGTTGGGCTGCCAGACTTATTGGCCATACCCTTTGCCTCATCCCTCTCAACCATACAATTGTTCAATTCCTCATCAATCCAAGGGGATTTATAGATATGGCTACTATATTGTGATCACTACATCCTATGGATTTGGATACTGCTTTAAAGCACATTTCTGCAGCATTAGTAAAGATGTGATCAATACATGTTGATGATTTCATTCCTGTGCTGTTTGTAAATACCCTGGTAGATTGACTAACAACCTGAACCAGGTTGCAGGCACTGGTTACAGTTTGCAGTTTTTTTCTTGAGTGGACAGCTTGATGAAAGCCAGTCAATATTTAAATCACCCAGAAAATATGCTTCTCTTTTGATATCACATACAATATCAAGCATTTCACACATATTATCCATTATACTGATTGTTAGCTCTTGGTGGTCTATAGCAGCTTCCCACAAGAATGGGCTTTAGGTGAGGCAGAACCTGTAGCCATATTACTTCAACAGTATCATCTCTAAGCTTTACAGGAATGTGGTTCCGAATATAGACCGCAACACCGCCCCTGTTGGCATTTCTGTCTTTTCGGTAGATGTTATAACACAATGTATTGCTACCACTGTATCATCAAAGGTATTATCTAAGTGAGTTTCAGAGATAGTCAGAATATGAATGTCATCTGTTACAAGCAAGTAATTGACTTCATGGACCTTGTTTCTCAGGCTGCATATGTTAATATGGGCTATTTTTAGCACTTTTCTGGGTTGTTTGATTGTTTTCAATGCTTTACTGGCTATTTTTAGAACTTCTCTGGGTTGCTTGATTGTTTCCAATGCTTTACTGGGAAGCTTATCCGAAGTAGATTTGTTCATGTTATTTATATTGGAGCTGATAGCGCAGGGTGAGCTGCACACAGTGGTCTTCCTACTAAGGCACACCGCCTCAGTACTAACAGTGTACCTCTGGTTCATAGGCTCATAATTACCGCATACAATAGCTGTAGGATCAACAGGGCAATTAGGGGGATATAAATTAAGTTACTTAAATTGTGTCTGCCAACGCCCCTAGGATAATATACATTTGCTGCAGCATTATGATGACTCATTGTCACAATGGTAGGGATTAACTGAGCTCTCCTTGGGTCATTGATAAGTCATTGTTTCAACGCAGCCTTGAAATGCGTAGACAAGAGTCCAGGAGCCAAGATGATTTGGATGGACTCCGTCCTTCCTGTAGAGTATCTTCTGTGTCCAGAATGTCTCAAAGTTATCTATAAAAGTGATTCCAGCAGAGCTACAGTAATCATTAAGCCAGACATGTAACGCCAGTAGCCTGCTGAATCTTCCACACCCGCGGCCCAATGATGGTACTGGACCTGAAATGATTGGCTGTTTTTTGGAGTCTTTTATTGCTAAAATCAGTTCTTTAAAATCAATTTCCAGATGTTCTGAGCTAGCCCTCCTGATATCGTTTGACCCCACACGGACTACGACAGCGTCGTAGTCCATGTCGTAGAACAGTCGGAAGCAGCCTTGTGATGTCCTATACTCGTGCTCCTGGGTAGCACAGGGTTTTGCATTGGGAACCGAGACGTTTCTCACCATAGAGCTGCCGATGATGACAGCTGGTGATGTTGAATGGGCTGGCCTCCCAGGCAGCCCCATGGTCTGACGAGGGTGGGAGCTCCGAGGACCTGAACCTGAGGCAGAAGCCACCGGAGACAGAACAGAGGATCCGGATCCGATCTTGAATGGGAAGCCCCTAAGGACGAAGGCGCCGGAACCTCTGGATCCAGGGCAGCAAAGCCATTTCTGGTCTGTGTCAGGTCTGGGCTTAACATCTCCAAGTACTGTGATGGCCCATATATTTTCTTTTCACATTGTCCTTTACAGCATGGTTCCAGCAACAATAGTGTAGGCCAGGCCAGCCCAATACAGCTTGGCTGGGCTCAGTTTGGCTCTACAATGTGGATTAGGCACTTGTGGAACAGTGTCACGAGCAGGCAGAGCCTGAGCCAATTGGACATAACTGTTTAATCAATATGTCTGGAGGTGAAAGGCTAGGAGCTGAGTGTTAAGAGGGCTTTTCCACTGTAGTGAAGAGCCGGAATCAGGAGATCTCCAAACATATTCCCTCTTCTCTAATGGCTTTAGTAACAGTCTAGGAATGGAAGGCTCACTGACTGCGAGCTACTGCTGAAGTGTGAGGGGGTCATTCAAGGTCCTCTCCCCCCGGAACGAGCCTCTGTCTGGGTCGCTGAACCAGGCCCCCTCCCCTGGGGCCCCAGAGAGTGTCTCCGTCCGCACACTCCCCAAACAGGAATCCCACCACCCCCAGGCTCACCTCTGTCTCTGCACCCCTCAGTTGCACAACACTGCCATCTGCTGGTGGAGGCAGAAAGTGTAACTGTCCTGCAGCAGGGTCGAAGACGGAGGAGAAAGGTATACCCCAATGACCTTAGCCACAACAGCAAAGGTCCTTCGTTGTGTTGGGAGAGAGCAAACACATGTTGTTTTGGCATCTATTTCATGTATTATTGATTTCTATACAAGTGGGATGTTTATTGAGGCACGTCAGCACACAGCTTTGTTCAAGGGCAAAACAGCGAGAGCTATCTCTTAAGTACCGCAGATCCAATTCTGTAAAGAGTAGTCTGTTGTTTTGTTTGTTTGTTTGTGTTTGCCTGTGTGTGTGTGCATGCAATGGTATTTTTTAAAGCATGTGTGTGAGAGTGTGTGCATGCGTACCTGCGAGAGAAAGAGTATGCAAGACCCACAGTACAAGTTTATGTTCGTGTATACAGTATGTGCAAGCGTGAATGAGTGTGTGTCTGTGCGCATGCGTGAGTGTTTGCGTGCAAGTGAGGGTGTTTTTTTAAAGCATGTGTGAGTGAAAGTGTGCATTCGTACGTGCGTGAGGAAGAGTATGCAAGACCTACAGTACGAGTTTATGTTTGTGTATATCAAATCAAATCAAATTTTATTGGCCACATGCGCCGAATTCAACAGGTGCAGACATTACAGTGAAATGCTTACTTACGTATACAGTACAAGCACGTGTGTTTGCAAGTGTGAATGAGTGTGTGTCTGTGCATATGGGGTGCTTATATTTGTCCTATTTCACACATGTACAAGTGTGTGGTGTGTAATGGAAATGTGTTTTTTGCATATCCCACACCCCCTGAGACACCCTTGGAGAGTGAGGTCACGGCCAGGGATCAGCCATTATTGACGACGACCCTGGGTCAAGTGCCTTGCTCAAGGGCAGATCGACAGATTTTTTACATAGTCGGCTGGTTGGCTGGGGATTCGAACTAGCAACCTTTCAGTTACTGGTCCAACGCTCTAACCGCTAGGCTACCTGCCGCCCCATGTACATGTTGTGTGTGTGCAGGTGTACAGCAACTGCACCGCCCGCAACCGCAGGGCTCTCCAGAGGGTGGTGCGGTCAGCCCAACGCATCACCGGGGGCACACTGCCTGCCCTCCAGGACACCTACAGCACCCGATGTCACAGGAAGCCTAAAAAGATAATCAATGACATTAGCCACCCGAGCCATGGCCTGTTCACCCCGCTACCATCCAGAAGGTGAGGTCAGTACAGGTGCATCAAAGCTGGGACCGAGAGACCGAAACAGCTTCTATCTCAATGCCATCAGACTGTTAAATAGCCATCACTAGCCGGCTACCACCCGGTTACTCAACCCTGCACCTTAAGAGGCTGCTGCCCTATGTACATCGACATGGAATCACTGGTCATTTTAATAATGGAACACTAGTCACTTTAATAATGTTTACATAGGGCTTTACTCATTTCATATGTATATACTGTATTCTATTCACTGTATATACTGTATTCTATTCTACTGTATTTTAGTCAATGCCACTCCGCCATTGCTTGTCCTAATATTTATATATTTGTTAATTCCATTCTTTTACTTTTAGATTTGTGTGTATTGTTGTGAATTGTTAGATACTACTGCACTGTTGGAGCTAGGAACACAAGCATTTCGCTACACCCGCAATAGCATCTGCTAAATATGTGTATGTGACCAATAAAATGTGATTTTATGTGTTTGTGTATATCTGCATGTGTGTCAACAGCCATGCTTAGTAGAGTGCACCAGCTCCTGCTCCATCACCCCACAGCCCAACACCTCCAGCCAGTCATCCTGGAAACGCACCTCCATCTCAAAGGAGGGATATGTGAAGGGGAAGTAACACTCCACCCAGTGGATTTCCAGCTCTGGCACAGAAATAGATAAGAGGAGGATGAAGGGAGATGGAGGAGAGGAAAGGACGGGTTGAGACAAAGGGCGAGGGACTGATCCAAAAATTATCAAAAAGTTAAATTTCCCCATATCCTTTCCTTCAAGAGACCAATGGCGTAAAAGGACTATGGGCCTGTTAAAACAAATTTAAAAATGGATCCTTCCTTCCTTCCTTCCTTCCTTCCTTGAAGTAATCACTGCTCTAAGATCATAGCATAATCAGCAAGGGTTCCTCAGCTAGCTTTCACCAATGCAGTCATGCAAGAACATTTCAAGGAAGGGAAGAAGTATTGAAACAAAGTCAAATCACATTTTATTTGTCACATGCGCCGAATAAAACAGGTGTAGACCTTACAGTGAAATGCTTACTTACAAGCCCTTAACCATCAATGCAGTTTTAAGAAAAATAAGTGTTAAGTAAAAAATAGATAAGTAAAAATAAAATATAAAAATAAAAAACAAAGAGCAGCAGTAAAATAACAGTAGCGAGGCTATATACAGGGGGTACAAGGTAAACAGAGAGTGGCAGCAGGTTTAAAAGAGGGGGTGGGTGGGGGGACAATGCAAATAGTCCGGGTAGCCATTTGATTAACTGTTTAGAAGTCTAATGGCTTGGGGGTAGAAGCTGTTAAGGAGCCTTTTGGAGCTAGACTTGGTTCTCCGGTACCGCTTGCCGTGCGGTAGCAGAGAGAACAGTCTATGACTAGGGTGGCTAGAGTCTTTGACAATTTAAGGGCCTTCCTCTGAAACCACCTGGTATAGAGGTCCTGGATGGCAGGAAGCTTGGCCCCAGTGATGTATTGGGCCGTACGCACTACCCCCTGTTGTGCCTTGCGGTCGGAGGCCGAGCAGTTGCCATACCAGATAGTGATGCAACCAGTCAGGATACTTTTGATGGTGCAGCTGTAGAACTTTTTGAGGATCTGAGGACCCATGCCAAATCTTTTCAGTCTCCTGAGGGGGAATAGGCTTTGTCGTGCCCTCTTCACGACTGTCTTGGTGTGTTTGGACCATGATAGTTTGTTGGTGAAGTGGACAACAAGGAACTTGAAGCTCTCAATCTGCTCCACTACAGCCCTGTTGATGAGAATGGGCGTGCTAGGTCCTCCGTTTCCTGTAGTCCACAATCATCTCCTTTGTATTTGATCACGTTGAGGGAGAGGTTGTTATCCTGGCACCACACGGCCAGGTCTCTGACCTCCTCCCTATACGCTGTCTCATCGTTGTCGGTGATCAGGCCTACCACTGTTGTGTCGTCGGCAAACTTAATGATGGTGTTGGAGTCGTGCCTGGCCATGCAGTCATGGGTGAACAGGGAGTACAGGAGGGGACTGAGCACGCACCCCTGAGGGCCCCTGTGTTGAGGATCAGCGTGGCAGATGTGTTGTTCCCTACCCTAATCACCTTGGGGCGGACCCGTCAGGAAGTCCAGGATCCAGTTGCAGAGGGAGGTGTTTAGTCCCATGGTCCTTAGCTTAGTGATGAGCTTTGAGGGCACTATGGTGTTGAACGCTGAGCTGTAGTCAATGAATAGCATTCTCACGTAGGTGTTCTTTTTGCCCAGGTGGGAAAGGGCAGTGTGGAGTGCAATAGAGATCGCATCATCTGTGGATCTGTTGGGGCGGTATGCAAATTGGAGTGGGTCTAGAGTTTCTGGGATAATGGTGTTGATGTGAGCCATGACCAGCCTTTCAAAGCACTTTATGGCTACAGACGTGAGTGCTACGGGTCTGCAGTCATTTAGGCAGGTTACCTTAGTGTTCTTGGGCCCAGGGAGTGGTGATCTGCTTGAAACATGTTGGTATTACAGACTCAGAACAGGTTGAAACTGGCAGTGAAGACACTTGCAAATTGGTCAGTGCATGCTCAGAGTACACGTCCTGGTAATCCGTCTGGGCCCTGCGGCCTGTTTAAAGGTCTTACTCACATTGGCTACGGAGAGCGTGATCACACAGTCATCCGGAACAGCTGATGCTCTAATGCATGCTTCAATGAATAGAAGTAATTTAGCTCGTCTGGTAGGCTCGTGTCACTGGGCAGCTCGCAGCTGTGCTTCCCTTTGTAGTCTGTAATAGTTTGCAAGCCCTGCCACATCCGACGATCGTCGGAGCCGGTGTAGTACGATTGAATCTTAGTCCTGTATTGATGCTTTGCTTGTTTGATGGTTTGTCTGAGGGCATAGCGGGATTTCTTATAAACATCCGGGTTAGAGTCCCGCTCCTTGAAAGCAGCAGCTCTACCCTTTAGCTCAGTGCGGATGTTGCCTGTAATCCATGGCTTCTGGTTGGGGTATGTACGTACAGTAACTGTGGGGACGATATCATCGATACACTTTTGATGAAGCTAGTGACTGATGTGGTGTACTCCTCAATGCCATCGGAAGAATCCCGGAACATATTCCAGTCTGTGCTAACAAAACAATCCTGTAGCTTAGCATCTGCGTCATCTGACCACATCATTATCGACCGAGTCACTGGTGCTTCCTGCTTTAGTTTTTGCTTGTAAGCAGGAATCAGGAGGATAGAATTATGGTCAGATTTGCCAAATGGAGGGCGAGGGAAAGCTTTGTACGTGTCTCTGTGTGTGGAGTAAAGGTGGTCTAGAGTTTTATTTTCCTCTGGTTGCACATTTAACATGCTGGTAGAAATTAGGTAAAATGGATGTAAGTTTCCCTGCATTAAATTCCCCGGCCACTAGGAGCGCCGCCTCTGGATGAGTGTTTTCCTGTTTGCTTATGGCCTTATACAGCTCATTGAGTGCGGTCTTAGTGCCAGCATCAGTTTGTGGTGAAAACTCTCTTGGTAAATAGTGCGGTCTACAGCTTATCATGAGATACTCTACCTCAGGCGAGCAAAACCTTGAGACTTCCTTAATATTAGATTTTGTGCACAAGCTGTTGTTTACAAATATACACAGACCGCCACCCCTTGTCTTACCGGAGGCGGCTGTTCTATCTTGCCGATGTAGCGTAAACCCTACTAGCTGTACAGTGCCTTACAAAAGTATACATCCCCCTTGGCGTTTTTCCTATTTTGTTGCATTACAACCTGCAATTTAAATGGATTTTTATTTGGATTTCAAATAATGGGCATTCACAAAATAGTCCAAATTGGTGAAGTGAAATGAAAAAAATTACTTAACCAATTACCTTCAGAAGTCACATAATTAGTTAAATAAAGTCCACCTGTGTGCAATCTAAGTGTCACATGATGCATTAAAGAACATAATTGGTTAAAGAAAATTGTGATAAATAACAAAGTATAGCAGTTTCATTTCAGGACCAAAGGATTGACAGCCGTCCCATATAGATTGCAAAATAGTTGGGAAGAGATTTTTGACGTACCGATTCCATGGCATAGTGTTTATGAACTGATATGCAAAACGACGCCGGATTCAAAACTTAGAATTTTTCAATTTAAATTATTATATAAAATTCTTGCTACCAATAGAATGTTATTTATATGGGGGATACAATCTTCCCAGCTCTGCAGATTTTGCTGCGAAGAGACAGAATCATTAGATCATTTGTTTTGGTACTGTCCATTTGTAGCTTGTTTTTGGACACAGGTCCAGGAATGGCTGAAGGATTGCAATATTTACCTGGAGCTAACCCTGCAGATACATTACTGGGTGATCTGAAAAGTCATAGTCAATCGATCAATAATATAATAATACTTTTAGCAAAAATGTTTATTTTTGATTTACAATCTGTAGAAACAATGAGAATAGAAGGGTTCAGAACTTTTATAAAACATCACAGTACAGTTGAAAAATATATGGCAAATAGAAATCCAATTTGGATGGTGTTAAGAGATAGATGGGTGGTGTTGAACGGAGTTGAAGGATGGGTCTAATAACAACTAACAACAACTAATAACAACAAGATAACTAATGTAAAGCATACTGTGTCCATAATAGGTATATTGGTTATAGGTTGAGAGCTTTTGTGAAAGAGCACAGTTGGAGAGATATGGCATATAGAAGCAAACCGGATGGACATCATGAAAATGATCGGAGAGGTTGAGGGTAGAGGAAGTTCAGGAGTAAAACAAACAAAACAGAATTATTGTAAAATTGACTGTGTCCATAAAATGTATATAGTATGTATAAGCTGGAAGTAGAGGCCTAAGCATTGTTGGTTACTAGTTTACTCCAATTAGGGAAGGGGTGGTGGGGTTGGAAAGTAATAAAGGGAAATATATATATTTTTAAGGATATGTACATATATGTTTGTATATGTATTTATATGTACAGTGGGGGAAAAAAGTATTTAGTCAGCCACCAATTGTGCAAGTTCTCCAACTTAAAAAGATGAGAGAGGCCTGTAATTTTCATCATAGGTACACGTCAACTATGACAGACAAAATGAGAAAAAAAAATCCAGAAAATCACATTGTAGGATTTTTAATGAATTTATTTGCAAATTATGGTGGAAAATAAGTATTTGGTCAATAACAAAAGTTTCTCAATACTTTGTTATATACCCTTTATTGGCAATGACACAGGTCAAACGTTTTCTGTAAGTCTTCACAAGGTTTTCACACACTGTTGCTGGTATTTTGGCCCATTCCTCCATGCAGATCTCCTCTAGAGCAGTGATGTTTTGGGGCTGTCGCTGGGCAACATGGACTTTCAACTCCCTCCAAAGATTTTCTATGGGGTTGAGATCTGGAGACTGGCTAGGCCACTCCAGGACCTTGAAATGCTTCTTACGAAGCCACTCCTTCGTTGCCCGGGCGGTGTGTTTGGGATCATTGTCATGCTGAAAGACCCAGCCACGTTTCATCTTCAATGCCCTTGCTGATGGAAGGAGGTTTTCACTCAAAATCTCACGATACATGGCCCCATTCATTCTTTCCTTTACACGGATCAGTCGTCCTGGTCCCTTTGCAGAAAAACAGCCCCAAAGCATGATGTTTCCACCCCCATGCTTCACAGTAGGTATGGTGTTCTTTGGATGCAACTCAGCATTCTTTGTACTCCAAACACGACGAGTTGAGTTTTTACCAAAAAGTTATATTTTGGTTTCATCTGACCATATGACATTCTCCCAATCCTCTTCTGGATCATCCAAATGCACTCTAGCAAACTTCAGACGGGCCTGGACATGTAATGGCTTAAGCAGGGGGACACGTCTGGCACTGCAGGATTTGAGTCCCTGGCGGCGTAGTGTGTTACTGATGGTAGGCTTTGTTACTTTGGTCCCAGCTCTCTGCAGGTCATTCACTAGGTCCCCCCGTGTGGTTCTGGGATTTTTGCTCACCGTTCTTGTGATCATTTTGACCCCACGGGGTGAGATCTTGCGTGGAGCCCCAGATCGAGGGAGATTATCAGTGGTCTTGTATGTCTTCCATTTCCTAATAATTGCTCCCACAGTTGATTTCTTCAAACCAAGCTGCTTACCTATTGCAGATTCAGTCTTCCCAGCCTGGTGCAGGTCTACAATTTTGTTTCTGGTGTCCTTTGACAGCTCTTTGGTCTTGGCCATAGTGGAGTTTGGAGTGTGACTGTTTGAGGTTGTGGACAGGTGTCTTTTATACTGATAACAAGTTCAAACAGGTGCCATTAATACAGGTAACGAGTGGAGGACAGAGGAGCCGCTTAAAGAAGAAGTTACAGGTCTGTGAGAGCCAGAAATCTTGCTTGTTTGTAGGTGACCAAATACTTATTTTCCACCATAATTTGCAAATAAATTCATTAAAAATCCTACAATGTGATTTTCTGGATTTTTTTATCTCAATTTGTCTGTCATAGTTGACGTGTACCTATGATGAAAATTACAGGCCTCTCTCATCTTTTTAAGTGGGAGAACTTGCACAATTGGTGGCTGACTAAATACTTTTTTTCCCCCACTGTATGTATGTGTATGTGTATGTATGTATGTATGTATGTATGTATGTATGTATGTATGTATGTATGTATGTATGTATGTATGTATGTATGTATGTATGTATGTATACATATATATATTTGCGAGAAAAAAAACATTTGTGGGATTGGAAGTGATGCAGACAATTACATTGATGGAAGTTACAATCTATCTGTAATATTAAGGCTGATCTACCCCCTAAAAAAACAAAACACAGTGTCACATGATCTGTCACATGATCTCAGTATATATATATATATACCTGTTCTGAAAGGCCCCAGAGTCAGGGTTGGGTTATAAAGTACAGATCAGGGTTGGGTTATAAAAAAATATCAGAAACTTTGAACATCCCACGGCGCACCATTAAATACTTTATTAACAAATGGAAAGAATATGGCACCACAACAAACCTGCCAAGAGAGGGCCGCCCATCAAAACTCTCGGACCAGGCAAGGAGGGCATTAATCAGAGAGGCAACAAAGAGACCAAAGATAACCCTGAAGGAGCTGCAAAGCTCCACAGCGGAGATTGGAGTATCTGTCCATAGAACCACTTTAAGCCGTACACGCCACAGAGCTGGGCTTTACGGAAGAGTGGCCAGAAAAAAGCCATTGCTTAAATAAAAAAATAAGCAAACACGTTTGGTGTTCGCCAAAAGGCATGTGGGAGACTCCCCAAACATATGGAAGAAGGTACTCTGGTCAGATGAGACTAAAATTGAGCTTTTTGGCCATCAAGGAAAACGCTATGTCTGGTGCAAACCCAACTCCTCTCATCACCCTGAAAACACCATCCCCACAGTGAAGCATGGTGGTGGCAGCATCATGCTGTGGGGATGTTTTTCATTGGCAGGGACTGGGAAACTGGTCAGAATTGAAGGAATGATGGATGGCGCTAAATACAGGGAAATTCTTGAGGGAAACCTGTTTCAGTCTTCCAGATATTTGAGACTGGGATGGAGGTTCATCTTCCAGCAGGACAATGACCCTAAGCATACTGCTAAAACAACACTCGAGTGGTTTAAGGGGAAACATTTAAATGTCTTGGAATGGCCTAGTCAAAGCCCAGACCTCAATCCAATTGAGAATCTGTGGTATTACTTAAAGATTGCTGTACACCAGCGGAACCCATCCAACTTGAAGGAGCTGGAGCAGTTTTGCCTTGAAGAATGGGCACAAATCGCAGTGGCTAGATATGCCAAGTTTATAGAGACATACCCCAAGAGACTTGCAGCTGTAATTGTTGCAAAAGGTGGCTCTACAAAGTATTGACTTTGGTGAGGTGAATAGTTATGCACGCTCAAGTCTTCAGTTTTTTTGTCTTATTTCTTATTTGTTTCACCCCCAAAAACTATTTTTCATCTTCAAAGTGGTAGGCATGTTGTGTAAATCAAATGATACAAACCCCCCAAAAATCAATTTTAATTCCAGGTTGTAAGGCAACAAAATAGGAAAAATGCCAAGGGGGGTGAATACTTTCGCAAGCCACTTTATGTTATCCATGTCGTCGTTCAGCCACGACTCAGTGAAACATAAGATATTACAGTTTTTTATGTCCCATTGGCAGGATATTCGTGATCGTAGCTCGTCTATTTTGTTATCCAATGATTGTACGTTGGCAAATAGGACTGATGGTAGAGGCAGATTACCCACTCACCGTCAGATCCTTACAAGGCACCCCAACCTACGTCCCCGATATCTCCGTCTCTTTCTCCTGCGAATGACGGGGATTTGGGCCTTGTCGAGTGTCTGAAGTAAATCCTTCGCGTCCAACTCGTTAAAGAAAAAATATTCGTCAAGTACGAGGTGAGTAATCGCTGTCCTGATATCCAGAAGCTTTTTTCGGTCATAAGAGACAGTGGCAGAAACATTATGTACAAATAACGTGAAAAAACACACACAACAGCACAATTGGTTAGGCGCCCGTGAAACAGCAGCTATCTCCTCCGGCGCCATTATTCTAGGTGAACGCTAAATGGTAAGTGAACGCTACATGGAGAATTGTGTTGACTACCATCGGGTATCACTATTGTGGATATGTGGGTATCCATAAACTTGAACTTGGAACGTTGTTTACCTTCTCCAAACAGGTGTCTGACCATACAGTCAAGGGTCTGTTTCAGGTCAAACTCAACCAGCTTGACCGCCTCCAGAGTGTGTCTCCTGCTTCTGAGGGGTCCGGCGCCCCCGCTCTCAAAGAGAGACAGGTCCTCTCCGCTCGACACCTTGGCAAACATCTGGGGGGTAAAAAAACATGCACACACATATATTTCAGAGATAACTCCTCAAAACAACACTGCGGCTAATGCTGCTAATATGGCTGATGATTGGACTTCATGTAGAATGAGTGATTGTATGTGTATTTAAGTTTACTTCTTAATGTCTTTACAGCACTCGGCAAAGTATATTTAATCAATAAAACTGTAGCTCTTCACGTTGTGTAACAGTGGGCTACTGTATTCATCCTTCATTGTGCGTCCTAGTCTTTGGCGGTGTGACCCTACACAGAAGGCCTTGACTTTGTGGTTTGGAGGAGAAGCTAATCAATAAAACTGGAGCTACTCATGGCAGTGTTATGTTTAGTTTAAATGTTCCAGTACCTTAACTCCACAAGCATTTGTTTTGATTTCAAAAGCTTTATGGGGACATGATACTGAAGTTCCCTAGTTCTCTTTTACTATAACCCCTATACCCTTTTCACAATACCATGTCAACCTGAACCAAGCTGTCCTTGCTATGATTTTTCTTCTTCTTCACATTGTCCTTTACAGCAGGGTTCCAGAAACTATGGTGGATGCGCAACCAGGTCTACTCAGTACAGCTTGGTTTGCCTTGGCTTGGTTCGGCTCATTAGTGTGAAAAGCCCTCTACTGACCTCGTGGTTGGAGAAGAGGCGCACGCCCTCCATCTGATGGAACACGTGGTAGTGGCTGGTGTCAATCTCTTCCCTTCGGTACACGTCGCCCGCCAGCAGGAAGGCGTCAAGCTCCGAGCGCACCAGCTCCCTCTGGTGGGCTGAGGTGTGAGCGCGCAGCATGGTGCCCCGGTTGAGGTAGTAGTTGTCGCCTTGCTTCCGGCTGGGGTGGTCGGCCCAGATGAGCAGGCTGTCGAAGTTCTGCTTCGTCGTCACCACCGGACTAAGGTTGTCTTGGACCGAGAACAGAGGGTTGCCCGAGCGCATGATGTAGGCGCGGTAGAAGTGGGCTTTGATGAGCTCTTTGATGAGCCAGAGAGGATGATGGGCTTAGTTATGCAGGTTGTGGCCCACCTTGGCCAGGATCTTGCTGGTCACATTGGTGAAGTCGTCACAAGGGTAGGAGTGGCCCAGAACTTTGACTGTCGTGCCTTGGCCAACCAGGGGCTGGGAGGCGGGGACACCGGTGGTCAGGTGCCGGGAGGAGGATAAAGGGGAGGAGTCTGTGGGCTGCGGTCAGCCTGCCATTGGCTGGGAGGCAGCAGAGTGGCCTATGGCTTGCTAGGGGCTTGAGAAGGGGGAGGAGTGGCAGGGTTCTGCAGTGCAGCCTCATGCTACCTGCTCCATGGACCTGAAGAAGAGAGGGACATTTGTCAGTTCTGGCAGCCTTTCAAACATCCTTGTTTGGTTCCCTATTGGTCATGATTTAGCTATATCATGTTGTCTCAATGTCAAATACACACCAATCTCAGAAATAACAGCGGGACAACATCTAAAGAACAGTTTGAAAACGGCATTTGTTAATAATTGGTCTGACATAAAAAGCCCAACAATAGTACAAACAAAAATGCCTAGAGGGTTGAGACTTTAGTTTAGAGGGCCAAAAAACAAGGGGAGATAATGTAACGCTGGACTGAATGTCTTCATGTTGGATTGGATAGTGCTCAAATGAACTTCTATGACCTTCTAGATTAAATCATATCTCTGTGTTTGAGGTTACATGAAGTAAATAAATGAACTGATGAACACTCCGGCAAGAGGCTAGACATTTCTGCAGGGCACACACTCCGAAATCTAAAATCTAAAATCTAATATATTCCCGTACATATCACATTACATTTATGAGCACAGCTATAATAATGGGCTGCAGACAAAAGCAGTGATTCATTTAAAGAACGACTTAATTCAATCAACCCTGTGTCTCTCTTCCTCTTTCTCTCACTCTTTCTTTCCCTCTGTAAGCATTTCCCAGGCAGGTTTGCTTCAGTGGAGAAGACTGCATTGGAGCACCTGGGAGAATTGAGCTGTATTTATTAGGGACTAACAGTAGCGCTCTATTGGCTGCGCTCAAATATTTGCCCTTTCCCAGCAATTTTTCATGAGCTGAGAGAAGGGGATCTGAGTTTGTTCTTCCACCATCCTCTCACTTTCTCTTGCTGGCACGCAATGGTGAAATAGACACACATGCACGCACGCACATACACACCGAGACTAGGGACACACACACATACACACACATACTGAGAGACTAAGGACAAAGGATGTTGCATTGCAGGGGCATTGCAGCAAAGTGGATTATGGTTATTGATCTGGAAAGCTTTTGTCAGGTCTAAATCGTAGGCTGTACAAGGTGTGGCCCTCATGTGCATAATTCCCTAGCTGTATGCATGAGCGCACGCATACACACACATACAGTCACTCCATCCCTCCATCAAACACACACTGCAGCCCCCCACTCTTCACACACACATTTGTTTTATTATCGTTGTGGGGACCAAACAACTGAAAATCCTATTTTCCCTAACCCCAAAACCCTAAAACGAAACCTATCCCTAACTCTTAACCCTAAAACTAACCCTAACACTAACCCCAGTGCTTAACTTGTAAATTGGGAGGTTCTGGAACAAAAAGTGAGCAGAGAGGGGGGTGACCTGGGGGCCTCTGAGGTACTGGAATGCAAAAGAAAAACAGTTAAGCATTGCATGCATATCATCGCTTTTGCGTGCTGGCATAGAGCAGTAGAGTAGAGGTGCTTGCATAAATTGCATACATGGGCCTTTTATAAACGCATTTCATGCAAATGTACATTATTTTAGATGACTGGAGACTTTAGCAGAATCTTTTTTAATACCTCACAAATGATCGAAATGAAAGGCTACTTTGACACTGAGATCAATAAAAACAACCTTTTCTTGAATCCATCAATAGCATAGGGCTAGGTGTGTGGAGACACACATATTGTATACTATGAGGAGGAAATTATAGTCCTAAAAAAGCTTTCCAGTTTTACTGGTGTGCAGCTCACTCACTGACAATGGCCGATGCGCTCGTGCTAAAAGCCTCTCTCTCTCTTGTTTTACTTTGTAAAAAACAATGCTGTTCACTCAATAGGCCTATTTGGAAGTTTATAAAATATTTGGTAGCCTACAAACAGATTAGTCTTATTTTTTCAGCAGAATCCATTTGCTTCCTAACCTGTGTATTCTGTGATTTGAAATATTGCAAAAGGCCTGTTTTGGCCGCCTGTTCCCGACTGTAGGCATGCCTTCTGATTGGGCTACACAGTCCACAGCTAGGCAAAAACAAATTGAACTACATTTACCAAAGTTATAGAATTACTCCTGTCTGTTCAGAAATAAATTAAATATTTCAGAATACTACACCAGGAGTAGGCCTATAATTTAGCCACAGAGGATCAATAGGATATTATTATTTATCAAGGGTACTGTGGCACCTCCAGCACCCTTCCCGCGGCTATGATTCTATAAGGAAATAAATGACGAAGTGCAACGCTGGAGAGGTGAGAGTTGTAGGCTCATGTCTGTCACAGCAGAGAGAGGGAGAGAGATCATAGAAAGTGAATCTCATTCAAGTTCTGTGAGAGATATAGTTGCTCTTCTCTCTCTCACCACAGCAATGGCCATGCGTTAGCCTAGACAGGCTACAATGTTGCGCAAACCATAAACCTGGGCCGGTCTAACACAAATCAATTCTTAGAAAATCAGGCACGTTTTCACATTACGTTTTTTATTGGGCAGGAGAATTACAGAGGGGGCAACTTGAATTAACTGATTTATTTTATAATAATTTTTACAGTGAACAATGAAAAATATTTTTCATGCCAAGAGAGGTACCGGATCCTGGCAAATGGGTTCCGGAATGAAACACAAAAAAATGGAGAGGTGCCGGATCCTCAAATTAGGCACTGACTAACCCTAATTCTAACCCTAAACCTAATTCTAACCCTAAACCTCTAAAAAAAGCAGTTTTCCTTGTGGGGACCGGCGAAATGACCCTACTTGCCTGAATTTTCCTTGTTTTACTATCCTTGTGAGGACTTCTGGTCCCCACAAGGATAGTAAACCCCCCCCCCCACACACACACACACACAAAGTCTCAACGGGGGCTCATAAAATAAATAATTTAGTCATCTGCAAGCCTCCCCGGCCTCTCCTTCCCTCTGGTGAATGGTAGGTAGAGAACGAGTCACCTCGTCCTCACATCACGTCACCTTCTTCTGACTCCACCCCCACGTAGCACAGTTAGCCCCATAAACGCTGATGGGGAATACTACAAATCTAGTCAGTATGCAGCAGTGTCAGAGAGAAAGAGTGAGAGTCTGAGAAGGGGAGGGGTCTGAGTGTGTGTGAGAGAGAGTGGGGAGATTTGTGTGTGAGAAAGAGTGTGTCAATGTGTGTAGGAGGGAGGAGGGATGTGTGAGAAGGAGAAAGTGTGTGTGTGTCTGTGAGTGAGAGAGAGAGAGAGAGACAGAGAAGACAGAGAGGAGACAGTGTGTGTGTGTCTGTGAGTGAGAGAGAGAGAGAGAGAGAGAGAGAGAGAGACAGAGAAGACAGAGAGGAGAAAGTGTGTGTGTGTCTGTGAGTGAGAGAGAGAGAGAGAGACCGAGAAGACAGAGGAGACCGTGTGTGTGTGTCTGTGAGAGAGAGAGAGAGAGAGAGAGAGAGAGAGACAGAAGACAGAGAGGAGACAGTGTGTGTGTGTCTGTGAGTGAGAGACAGAGAAGACAGAGAGGAGCCAGTGTGTGTGTGTCTGTGAGTGAGAGAGAGAGAAGACAGAGAGGAGACAGTGTGTGTGTGTCTGTGAGTGAGAGAGAGAGAGAGAGAGACAGAGAAGACAGAGAGGAGACAGTGTGTGTGTGTCTGTGAGTGAGAGAGAGAGAGAGAGAGACAGAGAAGACAGAGAGGAGACAGTGTGTGTGTGTCTGTGAGTGAGAGAGAGAGAGACAGAGAAGACAGAGAGGAACAGTGTGGGAGGAGAGCACGGAGGCAGAAGAAAGTCCACAAACTCTGCATAATTCATGGTGAGGGGCACCACTTGATTCATAGCACATCTCCATACAGAGCCTTGAATAAGACCTGAGGTAATGTCACCTGAAATAGCTGCCTTTGAGTCACAGATAACCTCGCAGATCGAGCCGGGACTTTGCTGCTGCTTGTAGTGTACCGTATGTCAGTGCGCTAGTATAACGTACTGTGACAGTCCCTGTCTGGCAGACCATGGACATAAACCATCACAAATGACACACTCCCATAGCTAGGGTGCTAACTATTACCCAACCAAGGTCTTCGTTGGGCATGGGTGCGAGACTACTTCAGGTCCCAATACGGTTGATGTCACCACACAATGGCTACTAGTGTTGACTAGCCTGCTCATACCTATTATAGATTTGATTTCAGACACGCAATTAGTCACGTTTGGGAGAAATGGATGCTGGTGCTACTTCCAGGATCAAAAAGCATTCGAAACCTGACGGGCCGTATTTCAAACAAAATAAATTAACATTGCATGTTTTGTTTCTCCACTTGATCTCAAACTTGTTTGATCTAAGAGCAAAGTCATTTACTAAATGTTTGATTTATGAATGCTTTGAGTCGATGTGTGTATCACACTTTGAGATGTGGGTTCCGTCATGCAAACACATACACTGAGTATATCAAACATTAGGAACACCTTCCTAATATTGAGTTGCACCCCCCCTTTTTGCCCTCAGAACAGCCTTAATTCTTTGGGGCATGGACTCTAGAAGGCGTCGAAAACGTTCCACAGGGTTGCTGACCAATAGGGTGTGTGTGTGTGTGTGTGTGCGTGTGTATGTACACTGAGTATACAAAACATTTAGAACACCTGCTCTTTCCATGACTGACCAGGTTAATCCAGGTGAAAGCTATGGTCCCTTATTGATGTGACTTGTTAAATCCCCTTCAATCAGTGTAGATGAAGGGTAACAGGCAGGTTAAATAATGATTTTTAAGCCTTGAGACAATTGAGATTTTGATGGTGTATTTGTGCCATTCAGATGTTGAATAGACAAAACATGTAAGTGCCTTTGAACGGGGTATGGTAGTAGGTGCCAGGCGCACCGGTTTGTGTCAAGAACTGCAACGCTGCTGGGTTTTTCACGCTCAACAGTTTCCCTTGTGTATCAAGAATGTTCCACCAACCAAAGGACATCCAGACAACTTGACACAACTGCGGGAAGCATTGGCGTCAAACATGGGTCAGCAACCCTGTGGAACGTTTTCGACACCTTCTAGAGAGAATTGAGGCTGTTCTGAGGGCAAAAAGGGGGGGGGGGGTGCAACTCAATATTAGGAAGGTGTTCCTAATGTTTGATATACACAGTGTATGTGTTTGCATGACAGAACCCACATCTCAAA